CCACATATATATATATATATATATATGTCCTAGTAGGACACCTAGTGCCAATGCTAGTAGTGTAGGATTCTATATTACACAGAGTTACCATGACTAAAAGGCAAAATTATAATAATGTCAAACAAAGCTACAAAATAAATAATTTTTGATACACGAACATCAAGATACAACGAAATGATAGGATACAACGAAATGATAGTTTTAATTTAACAGGAATAAATATTGGTAATCCCAAACACACAATCTTAGCTGGACACATAACATCACATGAACATATGTTTGATATAATACAATCTAACAAAAGGAGGAAAGTGATAGTTACTTATCAAGCAAAAGATTAAAGATTGCTGAGGCAACAATAACATAAAGCTACCACTTGTATTCTACTGGCTGTTGAAGTAGCATATTGTTGAGGTAACCATTTATGGAGGACCTTGGAAGTAACCTTGATCAACAAAAAAAAATAAACATGCTTTAGTTCACTTAACCCCCCCTTCAAAAAAAAAAAAAAAAAACAGCTTTAATCTACTAACTCATATTTGCTACATGAATTGATTAGAATAAAAAAAGAAAAAGAAAATGAGAAAATGAAATTGAGATGCTTCAATAGAGAGAGATGTATTTTGATAGAGTAATGTTATATATACACAAATTTCTCATCAGATTTTCATACCACTAGTCACAAATTTAGTAAGGGCCATATTAATAAATATAGGCAGAATTCATGTCTCTATGTCTAGTACTAAGAAATTTGAATAAAAAAATTTGTTTTGAGTATAGCATTTTCTATTTCAGTATGCATATGCGTAGGTCAAGAGGGTATGCTACACACATTTGGTTTTCATGTTGCAAAACCTCTTCCAACTTCCTAGTCTTGGTTCAACCCTTCATTCATGTAAGTATTTTTGATCTTATGCAATTCACTAATAACACTTCCCATTTTCATTCGATCTCTTGACGATTCCATTGAACACGCAACCCCAATTTGTAGAATCGAAACCATGCAGTCTTTAATCCACCTTCTTGTGTTATGCTCCAATAGGATGCAAGGATCCACAATCCCCATCCTCGATTAGGCAATGCATTCTTAACAAAGTTATGAAGATTTAGATGATCCTTAAACTTATTGTCAGTTGGTTTCTTACCTGTAAACATCTCCAGTAAAAGAATCCCAAAGTTGTATGCATCCCCTAGTGTGGAATCCATGTCCCCCATGCCATACTTGCAAATTGTTTCCAATGTTAGTGTGAAAAATGAGTCTAGCTAGTTGGCATAGTTGTAATCTCAATAGATGTATTTAATAATTTTTTTTAATGAAACCCAACAAAATTTTTAATGCTCTGATGTCCTTAATTCTGTCCCCCTCTCAGTTACAATATTTTTGTTTGTGTTTGCAACTGGCTAAGTGAGACAATTATAGAGAATGACATAGTTTGATTGTATTTTTCTATTGAAAGAAACAAAAGTTAGTCTTGCATGAGATATTCTGTCAGAATGACCTATACAAGTTTCCAAGCAATAAGTAAGTTTTTAGAGAATGCTTTGGTAGCAAACTAGTATATTAATTCTTTCCACTAGTAGATACCATGGACTATTTTGATCAGACTAAAATTTCATACTAAAATTAAATAAAGAATATTTAAAAAAAAAAACAAACATAGGAGGCAGAGAGGATTAACACAAGTGTTCCATATCCAAGTTTAAGCATGGCCACATTAAATAATGTACACTTCAATGGTAATATTTATAATAAGATTAAGGATGACCACATTAAACAAAGTAAACTTAGTACTTGGTTTGCTAACAGTGACGAGGTGGAAGCACACATTAGGAGCATTCATAAGTGGCATGGAATTTGCATAAAAATAATGATTAAAACTATGTAGGTGCCCACTATTTTGTAGAAGCCATGGTTTGTATGTTTATGCCAAAATGTATTCCTGTGTGTGTATATATATATTATATTTTTCCTATTGCAAGTTCAGTTTTTCCACTCCAAGGAAATTGAAAAGATTTTCTAACTGGAGCAACATAGCCTATGGTTCCCCTTATTACAACTGAATTGCTTTGACCATGTGCCACATCACTTGAAACAGTAGAAACAATTTTTGCCAACCCGAAATCTCCAGTATGGGCCATCATCTCATCATCCAAAAAAACTTTACTTGGCTTTAGATCACCATGAATAATTGTCGACTCACAATAACCACAATGAAGATACTCAAGAGCAGTGGCAATATCCATTGAAATGTCCAGCTTCTAGATTAGTTTAAGATTTCTAGGTTCCTCTAGCTGCTCATGGTCTCCAACTTCGACTTGATGTAACCAATTGCCCAAGTTTCCATTGGCCATAAATTCATGTACCAGAGCTTTGAACTCGTTACCATGGAAATCCACACTGGAACAAACGCCCAAAATTTTCAAAAGATTCCGGTCCCTTATGGCTCTTAGTGCTTTGCATTCTGACATGAAGCTCTTAGAAGTTCTTCTGGTCTGAAGATTGAGCACTTTCACTGCAGCAACCATGTGAACGTGATCAAGAATCCCTTTGTAAACTGAAGCATAGCTACCAACACCAATTAGATTAGCCTCTGAGAATCCATTGGTGGCTTTGAGAAGCTCTCCATAAGAAACCCTCAAAAATTAATGTTTGATTGATGGTGTGCTAGAGGTCTTCTTTTTTGAAACATGACACTGTTGAAGAAATATAAAGAAGCTAACAAACAGAGATAAAAATATCACAAGACCAACCACCAGTAGGATCACTTTCATCCTGTGAGATAGCTTGTTGTTGCTTGATTTGGGGGATGGACAAGGAGGAAGGTCAAATTTTGCAATACCTCCACATAGCTCATTATTTCCAACAATTGAAATTGCACTCCCATTTTGGAACACTCCTTGTATTGGAACTTCTCCATGTAGCCTATTAAAAGATAAATTCAACACATCTAGTTGAAGCTCAACTAGATAACTTGGCATCTTCCCTGACAACTTGTTGTGCTAAAGATCCAACACTCTTAAGCCCCTCAACTTTCTCAAACTTTTAGGTATCTCTCCTTCAAATGAATTGGCCTCCAACTGAAGCCATTCCAAGTTCAAACAATTGCTTAGAGTGTTTGGTATCGGCCCTGATAATCTATTATAGGATACATCCATGTGTCCAAGATTTGTCAAAGACCCAACTTCTGATGGAAGAGAACCAATTAGTGCATTGTGATTTAACAAGAGGAATGTTGAAATGGAGGAGAGACTCATAATTTCAGGGGGTATTGAACCATTGAGATTTTTTTGAGAAAGGGCTAATTGCAACAAGCTATGACAATTGCCCAAACTCGGAGTTATGCTTCCATGAATGTTGTTTTCTGACAAGTCAAGAATAATCAAGAAAGTCAAATTACCAAGCGAAGATGAAAGTTTTGTGAATTTGTTCCCGCCTAACAGCAGTTCTTGCAGCTTATGAAGTGTGCCAATGGAGGAAGGAATAGGGCCAGCAAGATTATTTGCTACCATAGATAAGAGAGTGAGTTTGAGGAGTTTCCCAATGCCTGAAAGAATGCTTCCATGTATTTGATTAATCTCCAAATTAAAATAGCTAAGATATGTGGAGAGATTAGCTACGGAGTCAGGCAATGAACCTCTGAGAAGATTGTTACCCACATCAATAGATTGTAAACTGGTACAATTTGTTAGAGACGAAATAAAAGTGAAGTCATCCCGCAACCGATTTTGATAAAAATATTCTATATCTAAGACCATGAAGTTTTCCAAGATCCCTTGGCATTCTCCCGTTGAAATCATTCTGAGAGAAGTCTATTGATTCAAGCTCAGAAGCATTTGACAGTGAAGTAGGAAGTGTTCCAGTAAACAAATTGACGAAAAGATAAAGAAACTTGAGGTTGGGAAGGGGGGAGCCTATATCAGGAGGAATATTTCCTTCAAGTTGGTTAATACATACTGATAACGCAATGATGGTGGAGATATTGTAAAGGCCAGATGGAACCTTGCCAGACAGGTTACTCAGTGCTATGACTTAAAGGGGTCTTGGTGTAAATAAACCTTCTTATAAAAAATCCACCCAACCCAACATTCAGTTATAATTGCATACACACCCACAAAAATGTCTCTCCCTTGCTCTGCATAATCAGCTGTGTCTATGCTCATCATGTTCTTGATCATTTCATTTCATTCTGCGCTCTACAAATGTACCCTTGCAATGGTGATTGGGTGCACAGTTTAGTTGGGTTCTTCTCTTTCAGTCCATCCACAGATGAAGCTTAAATCAGTTGTCGTTCAATTGAGAACTTTGTTGTAGCTTTCTAGTAACAAACAGTAGCTGTTGAAATTCTCAAGAGTTACATGTAATCTGAAGTGTATATCAAACAAAAACTTCATCTCCATATTGTTCATCTCTGTTAAAATTAATGCCATATTTACATTAGATACATTGGATACATTGCATGCATTGGATACATTGAGTTCATACATTCTTTGTATTCATGTATTTTTATATTCATGTATTTTATATTTATTAAGTACATTGTCTAGATTATATTCATGTACCTAATTAATTACAAGGTTGTTTAGGTTCATGGATCGTATTCATTGAACTTATGTATAACATTCTCTATATAAAAGGATGTAAGCCTATGGGCAAGACATATGAATCAATAAGTGATAAAAATTCAATACAAAATATAGTTCATTATAAAGAGAGTTTTATCAAAAGCTAACACCCTTTGATAAACAACACCACTTGCTCAGAATCAGTTTCTATAAGAATGTCTGTCATGCTCTTCTCTAGGATGATGGTGAGACCTCTGTAAACTCCCTACAATTCAGCAACCTCACTGGTTGCATTTTCAAGCTTTCCATGATAACCATGCAGCCATGTCCCTCTTTCATCTCTGAATAAACCTCCATAACCCGCTGGTCCAGGATTGCCTTTAGAGCATCCATCCGTGTTAAGCTTAATTTTACCTGCAAGAGGACAACACCAATTAGAAACTTGAGGTATTTTCCTCCCTGTGAAATGATCAGTCAGAAAGGCTTCCTGAATTTCAATGGCTTGCAAGTGAATAAATCTAACAGCCTTCTGTGCATTACAATCTTCTTGGCAAAAAACCATATTATTCCTGTCTTTCCAAATTTTCCAAAGGGCTAGAATAAAAACAGTTCCCCATGGTACATTCCACATTTTAGAGCTCTTACTTTTCAAATTAGATAGCAGCCATTGATCAAGACTTTCTGTCTAGCATTGTGTTGTTATGATTTCTTCTAGCATTCCATATTTTTTAAGCTTGGGTATATTTTTTACGGTGTTTCGAAGGATGTAGACACCCCATTTTTGACCGACCTTAAGACTCAGACGTCACCGATTGAGCGCTTGGTGATGTTGCATAATGTGCTTGTTCAGAAGCTTCAGACATGCGGCCGTGAGCCCTGCCTCCGGACTTCCGAACCCTCTTCTGTGCCTTATCTC